GATGGGCTGGGGGGCTACTGGGAGGGGCTGTGGGGCTACTGGGGCTCCGGGGGTGGGCGGTGGGGCTCGTGGGGTGGGCTGTGGGGCTCCTGGGATGGGCTGTGGGGCTCCTGGGATGGGCTGTGGGGCTCCTGGGGTGGGCTACTGGGATGGGCTGTGGGGCTACTGGGATGGGCTACTGGGATGGGCTGTGGGGCTACTGGGGTGGGCTACTGGGATGGGCTGTGGGGCTACTGGGATGGGCTACTGGGATGGGCTGTGGGGCTACTGGGGCTACTGGGATGGGCTGTGGGGCTGCTGGGGCTTCTGGGACTGCTGGGATGGCCTACTGGGGCTACTGGGGCTGCTGGGATGGGCTGTGCGGCTACTGGGGCTACTGGGATGGGCTACTGGAGCTACTGGGGCTGCTGGGATGGGCTACTGAGGCTGCTGGGCTGGTTTGGGTGGCTGGGCTGATGGGCTGGGCTGGGCTAGGGGCAGCTCCTGGCAGAGCCATCTCACACCGGGGCTGGGGCAGCTCCTTGAGCTTTGCTTGGGAGGGCTCAGGAGGAAAGAAAAGGCTCCCCTGAAGGGAATCCTGGTGGCAGAGCTCAGGGAGGTTTGGGAAGGAGGAGTCAGCAGCACTGGGGGATCCTGCAGGCATTTTCCAGCCTCAGGGACTCCGGGATCCTGAGGGTCACTGCCTGGGCTGTCTCCTCGTGAGCAACCAAACACCCCAAACCCTCACTCCTGCAGGAATTCCAGCTGGCAGGTTGTGTGGGATGGGCAGGATATTGGACTGTGATTGTCTGTGAGCAGCAGCCAGCACCTGATCTCAGTGCTGCACAGAATCCAGGCTGTGAAAGCAGGGGAATGATAATCCATGGAAAATCCTGTCCCGGGGCTGGAGCTCTGCAGGGAGCCCTGGGGATGGGTCAGCTCCAGCTCTGCTGACCTTGGAGAGGCCCTGGGTCCGTGTCCTGGCAGATCCCTGCCTGGCAGAGCAGCTCTGCCTTTCCTCCTGCCTGCAGGACCATGGGAACCTGGAATCTCAGAAGGTTTGGGCTGGGAGGGACCCCAGAGCCCATCCAGTGTCACCCCTGCCATGGCAGGGACACCTCCCACTGTCCCAGTGTCCAGCCTGGCCTTGGGCACTGCCAGGGATCCAGGGGCAGCCCCAGCTGCTCTGGGCACCCTGTGCCAGGGCCTGCCCACCCTGCCAGGGAACAATTCCTGCCCCAAATCCAATCCAGCCCTGCCCTCTGGCACTGGCAGCCATTCCCTGGCTCCTGGCCCTCCAGCCCTTGTCCCCAGTCCCTCCCCAGCTCTCCCCATGTCCCTGGTGCTGGGCCTCACTCCAGGTGTTTCAGTGGGAATTGTCCCCTCCATGTCCCTGGGCCTCACTCCAGGTGTTTCAGCAGGACAGAGGTGGGACCCAAGGTCACTTGGACACAGAACTCCCCGGGGAGGGTGGAGACCCCTGGGGTTTATTTTGTGCCTTTCTCCCTGGCACAGGCAGAGGAAGGATGAGCTGGAGCAGAGGATGTCAGCGCTGCAGGAGAGCAGGAGAGAGCTGATGGTGCAGCTGGAGGGGCTGATGAAGCTGCTCAAAGTAAGGAATCTGCTGTTGGAAAGGCAGCAAATCCCTGCCTTCCCCGGGTGCTCTGGGATCCCCTAAAACCCTTCCTGAGGAGCAGGCTGAGTTTGCCAGGAGCCATCTCCACCCCAGCTCTGCGTGGGGTGCAGGGGGTTAATGCTTTTCCAGGTTTGTGGGGGTGAAACACTGACATTTGGAGTGGTTTAACAAAGTTGGATTTGGTAACTGGGGCTGAGTACTTCCCACTCCCCCTGGGAAACAAACTGGGAGCAGGGCAGGATGAGACTGCCAGGGATGAGGAGCTGGCCCTGCACAGCCCCTGCCACATCTGGGGTTTGTTTGGGGGTTCTCACCCTGCACAGCCCCTGCCACATCTGGGGTTTGTTTGGGGGTTCTCACCCTGCACAGCCCCTGCCACATCTGGGGTTTGTTTGGGGGTTCTCACCCTGCACAGCCCCTGCCACATCTGGGGTTTGTTTGGGGGTTCTCACCCTGCACAGCCCCTGCCACATCTGGGGTTTGTTTGGGGGTTCTCACCCTGCACAGCCCCTGCCACATCTGGGGTTTGTTTGGGGGTTCTCACCCTGCACAGCCCCTGCCACATCTGGGGTTTGTTTGGGGGTTCTCACCCTGCACAGCCCCTGCCACATCTGGGGTTTGTTTGGGGGTTCTCACCCTGCACAGCCCCTGCCACATCTGGGGTTTGTTTGGGGGTTCTCACCCTGCACAGCCCCTGCCACATCTGGGGTTTGTTTGGGGGTTCTCACCCTGCACAGCCCCTGCCACATCTGGGGTTTGTTTGGGGGTTCTCACCCTGCACAGCCCCTGCCACATCTGGGGTTTGTTTGGGGGTTCTCACCCTGCACAGCCCCTGCCACATCTGGGGTTTGTTTGGGGGTTCTCACCCTGCACAGCCCCTGCCACATCTGGGGTTTGTTTGGGGGTTCTCACCCTGCACAGCCCCTGCCACATCTGGGGTTTGTTTGGGGGTTCTCACCCTGCACAGCCCCTGCCACATCTGGGGTTTGTTTGGGGGTTCTCACCCTGCACAGCCCCTGCCACATCTGGGGTTTGTTTGGGGGTTCTCACCCTGCACAGCCCCTGCCACATCTGGGGTTTGTTTGGGGGTTCTCACCCTGCACAGCCCCTGCCACATCTGGGGTTTGTTTGGGGGTTCTCACCCTGCACAGCCCCTGCCACATCTGGGGTTTGTTTGGGGGTTCTCACCCTGCACAGCCCCTGCCACATCTGGGGTTTGTTTGGGGGTTCTCACCCTGCACAGCCCCTGCCACATCTGGGGTTTGTTTGGGGGTTCTCACCCTGCACAGCCCCTGCCACATCTGGGGTTTGTTTGGGGGTTCTCACCCTGCACAGCCCCTGCCACATCTGGGGTTTGTTTGGGGGTTCTCACCCTGCACAGCCCCTGCCACATCTGGGGTTTGTTTGGGGGTTCTCACCCTGCACAGCCCCTGCCACATCTGGGGTTTGTGTGAGGGAACTGACCCTGCCACATCTGGGGTTTGTGTGAGCTGACCCTGCCACATCTGGGGTTTGTTTGGGGGTTCTGGTGCTGGCTCTGAGCTCCAACACAACATCTTTGCTGGGGTTTCTCAGGAAGCTCCTTCAGTGTTTTCCTGGAGTCCCCCCTGGGCCGAGCTCCCAGCTGGAGACTGGGCTGGGAAACTCTGTCACACCTTTGTTCTGTCTGCTCCAAATCAAACAAGAGTTTGTACAGCGAGAGACAAAACCTTGGAGAGCCTTTGGTGCAGGGCCAGGAGCCCCAGAGGTGCTGTGGGAGGGGGCAGGAGGGAGAGACCTGGCAGGGTGACAGTGGCATAGGGGTGACAGTGGCACAGGGGTGACAGATCAGCTGTAGGCACATCTGGATGGTTCCAGGGAAATTCAGAACCTCTCTACACTCAGAGAGAACAATGAATTCCCTGGGACTCACAAGTGCCATCACTCCTCAGCTTGGGCTTCTATCCTGGGCTGGAATTCCAGCCCCTTCCCTTCATCCTGGGGCAGGGCTGTCCTTACAGGGGGTGATGATCCAACACTCCTCAGCAGGGCCTGGTTTATTCCCTGAGCACAACACACTGGCCCTGTTTGGGAATTCTGTTTTTCCTGAAGCCACTGGTTCTGCTCTGTGTTTTTCCTGCTCAGCTCATCAATGTCTGACTTCTAAAATCACAGGAATCCCAGAATCCCAGAGGGGTTTGGGCTGGGAGGGACCTTAAAGCCCCTCCAGTGTCACCCCTGCCATGGCAGGGACACCTCCCACTGTCCCAGTGTCCAGCCTGGCCTTGGGCACTGCCAGGGATCCAGGGGCAGCCCCAGCTGCTCTGGGCACCCTGTGCCAGGGCCTGCCCACCCTGCCAGGGAACAATTCCTGCCCCAAATCCAATCCAGCCCTGCCCTCTGGCACTGGCAGCCATTCCCTGGCTCCTGGCCCTGCAGCCCTTGTCCCCCTGCAGCTCCATCCCATGGTGAGGATGCCCAGGACGGGATGGACCCCCAGAGCTGCCCCAGCTCCATCCTGGGGCTCCCCAGAGCTGAGTGCCAGAGCCCTGCCCTGTTCTGAGCCCTCCCTTCCCCCCTGGCTCCCACCCCTGGCACCGTGGGCTCCTTCGTGTTTCCCCCCCTGGAGCCCCCCAGCCTCTCCCCAATTAAAGCCTCTTCCAGAAGGACATCTGCTCTGGAGCTGGAGGAATCCAAAGTGGAAAATTCCCTGCCAATGCAAATTTGCCTGAACAGTTGAAGATTCCTGCCTGGATTGCAGTGTGCCTTTGGCCTGCACCCGCTGCTTCTCCTCCATTAAATCCAGGAGCACTTTTCCCCCCTGAGTTCAGCTCAGGCCAGGCAGCCTCACTCAGGCCTTTAAATCAATTTAAATTTGTATCAATTTAAACAGGTACAGCTGAGCCCCTCCCAGCCCCCTGCTCCATCAGCTTGTGGAAGGTTCTTTTTAACAGAAATGTTTTATATTTGGGAAAAGCAAGCTGGATGTTGAGTTCCTCCCTGAGCCTCAGCAGCCAGAGGGGCTGCACTGCCCTTCCTGCCTGGTTCCTCTGGGAGCTGTCAGACACCCAGCACGGAATTATCTCGTGCTGGGGGTAAATCCCCTGCCCTGCCCATTTCCTGCCTCTGTGCCTTCAGGAGCCAAACCTGGGGCACGTTCAAATAACCAAATCAGCTTTTCTTGGCGAGATTTCCTTTCCATGAAGTCCTAAAGCTGCTGTGGCACCTGTCAGTGGGGCCCTGGGTCAGCATTCCTGACAC